ACATATGTGGGATACAATGGGATACAAGATATAAGTTGATGACTATTAAGAAAAATGAGTTGCCAAGGCATAGCAGTGGTGAAGTTCATCTTCCAACATGAGTACAACCATAAATCTCACCACTAGTATTTCTCTTTGTAGCTTATTTAACTAGGTCATCTATTCATACCCATTTTTTCTACATATACATAACACAAAAGGTGCGAGGCTAGATACTGTACGAGGAAATTGACTTCTATGGACATTCTACAACGACTATTTTTCTTCATAAGAATCCCCAAAGTTCAAATGATCTTCATGTCCTAAACATGATTAGATAAAAATCATCAATTTTAACATTTTTTAACAATTTCAATGCATTTATTTGTTGCAAAAAAATTTCAACAATAGAACCATTGTGACCATGAGATCCATAGACAACAAAGCTTAAACTACATAAATTTTTACATAAAAAAAAGAAGACCATAGACGGTCGGATCATGTAATGATGGCAAGGTTGGAGTTTTAGATGTACCATAGAAGGAACTTTCCTCATATCGCCATTGACCTATTGTTTTCTCAATGTGTGTGTATCCAAAGATCTTCAATATATTCATATGTGCATTCATATAACTCAACCAGTTTCCTGTTTTCATATTGTACATATTTTAAATGTAGGTTTGTATTTTCAGTTGGAAAATGAATATAAAATTTGACTTCATATCCATTGCACCTCATGTGCCTTTCAATGTCTCATATAGTTATCGCTAGTATCTCTCTTTGTAGCTTATTTAACTAGGTCATCAATTCATACCCCTTTTTTCTACATATACATAACACAAAAGGTGCAAGGCTAGATACTGTAGGAGGAAATTGACTTCTATGGACATTCTAGAACGACTATTTTTCTTCATAAGAATCCCCCAAGTTCAAATGATCTTCATGTCCTAAACATGATTAGATAAAAATCATCGATTTTAACATTTTTTAACAATTTCAATGCATTGATTTGTTGCAAAAAAATTCAACAATAGAACCATTGTGACCATGAGATCCATAGACAACAAAGCTTAAACTACATAAATTTTTACATAATAAAAAGAAGACCATAGACAGTCGGATCATGTAATGATGGCAAGGTTGGAGTTTTAGATGTACCATAGAAGGAACTTTCCTCATATCGCCATTGACCTATTGTTTTCTCAATGTGTGTGTATCAAAAGAGCTTCAATATATTCATATGTGCATTCATATAACTCAACCAGTTTCCTGTTTTCATATTGTACATATTTTAAATGTAGGTTTGTATTTTCAATTGGAAAATGAATATAAAATTTGACTTCATATCCATTGCACCTCATGTGCCTTTCAATGTCTCATATAGTTACCGCTCTTGTATATTACATATCTAAATATAGTTTGTATTTGTTATTAGATAATGAATACAAAGTTTGAATTCATGTCCTTTGCACGCCTAGGTGCCTCCACTACTTGGATCATTCAAGGTTCTCTTCAATTTTTATTTTTGATGCAACTCCAAGAGCAAGCAAGCTAGACAAAGCTCGACTTCAACCAATTTGGAAGACCTTACACATTGAAACGTACAATTCTTAAGTGATCGTTTACTTGAGCTAAGTGTACACTGAAATTTATTTACTTTTACTCTTTTCTTTCTAATTCCTCTCCTTCCTTTGTCTTATATTTCCCCATTTCATATTGTGTGTTTATATATGTTTCGTGTTTTACTGGTTGTGGTTTGTT